TTTTTGCATTAACGCATGTCTATGGCGGCAAATAGGATTTGACGTCTTTTTTTTGAAGCAAAAATGTTGCTGCGTTGCAGCGCTCATTGTTTTTCAAGGGGTGCTCATGTTTTGAATAATGAAAATAATCTAACGTAAATTAAATTATGGCTTAAAAGCAGCAATTACACTTTAAACCTGTGATCAATATTAATTTTAACTGGTTCTCGTGTGTCTCAATACATACATGAAATGGGTTTGGTTTTGCACGGTTCTTAACAACACCAAAAATGTATGGCATGCATATAAAAATTATGAAAATATTATTATTTCGTCCATTAAAATGATTTCGCGCGCACATTCAAACCAACTTTGTAGCCTACTTTGCCAACTAAAAAGTGCTTCGAATCGGAAAATATTCATTATGGATAATAATATGGAACATAATTTGGTTTAACTTTGATAACATAAACTCTATCGAAACGAAAATGCTGCGATTTAGTCATTGGGATACGAGAGAGCAAGAGAGGAAGAGATTCGAGAATACCTCAAAAGAAACACATGTAATCGATTGGTTTCATTTACATTTGTTGTACGAGCAATGTTCATGTAAATTTGAAGTAATGCTAGTAATGGATTACATTCTGCGCGCGCGCGCTCTCTCTCTCCAGGTATAAAGTGAGTTCGACACAAGACATCTCCCGAGTCAACAAAAAAATAAAGAGAAGAAATGAACCAAAAACGAAAATAACTTCACCAACAACGGAGTGCATCATCGCATTGCATGGTGTGTGCCTATCTTTGGATGGATATGTGCATGAGTCGCACAGAAACCGATGAGAACCGAGACCAGAGAGAAATTCATGGAGTTAAGGTGAAATGGATAACGTGACCGTACAAATTGGTGATATGAATTTTTTTTTTGATTTTCCATCTTTATAACCGAACGTGATCATTCCAACCGATATATTCACGACGTTGTAATTTATTTGATGTTATTCAATGGTATCTACAGCGTGTTTTGCCATTTTTTATGGATGGCCTCTTGCAATAATGGCATCAAAGAGTTAATTCTTCGGCGAGCGAATCAATTTCAATGTTCTTTGTGTGTACGATGAGTTTTTAATGGATTGCCATTTTTTTTCTTCTCCCTCTTCTTTGGCTCGTTCCTGCATCGAAAAAGTGCATAGTGTTAACTGTCTGGGTGGATAGAATGTGCGCGATTTTCTATCGAATAATTTATCGATGGTTTTCATGGGCATTGAGTAGAATAAATAGCCGATAAAATGGATTTCGTTAATATGACACATCAAAAGAGCGATGGGATTAAAGGTTATTCAAATTTAAAATTGATTGCAGTTTATATTATCTATGAATCGTGCTAAATGGCCGTTCATTTCATTGAGAACGATAGAATTCCTTATTACTTAATTGCTATGCTTTGTGAATTGGCCACAAATCGGGTGTTCGGCTCAAAATTCTCGGTGTATTCAATGCGAAGCGCGAACGCGCGATTACAAAGCTACTTGGGTGCTGGAGATTTCGATTGCCGGCCCCTCGCTTACATTTTACGCAGTAGAAATTTCAACGAATCACAACATCGACATTGCTCAAAACATTCGCATTTCAAATGCATAGCAAACGACTTCTTAGACATTCACGCGCCCACATTACACACCTTGCCTAGTTGCATTTTGCACAAGGAATTTTCATACGTTGTTCCACTCACTATGCCAATATATATAAATAGGCTTTTTTTCGGTCGGTCGGCCGTTGCGTCGATTTTTTTTTTTCTTCAAGTGCTGGTAAATGAAATTAATTATAATTTGTACTGGTGAAAATCAGTGCACAAGACGAATACACAAACACAAATACACAGTACACACAGTGCACAGTGTAAGCCTTACATACTGGGCAATACGTCGTATGCAACAGTGAATTTTAAGGTATTCGATATCGAGAGCTAAAATGCTGATTGGTCATTGTGACAAACAACGCCACAATCACATGTAAATACATACGCAACGGAGAGAGACTAACTACATTAAATTGTGCGAACATTAACGAAAAGATCATTATGTATAACTAGGCCAAGGAGCTAAATATTGCAATTCAAGCGAACGTACGTACCACGATACCAAATATAATAATCATACACATCCACATGAAATGAGTAAAAAGCAATAAAAACAACAACAACAACGACGGCGACGGTGACGGTAACAGCATCAGCAGCAGCAGCCGTAGCACCAACAATCAATTCATGCGTTTCACCGCTCTTTCTTCTCTGTCTCGCAATCAATCCATCCATCGAATGACGCGAACGCATTGTGCGACAGATCGTCGTACATAAGAATAGCAATTTAATCAACGTCATTAGCACATACATTTCATAGTCCATTTTTATTGAATTCCCTTTTTTCGCTCTCGTCTTTGTTTACGTGCAATTTGTGTGTGCGAGTGTTTCTTCGTAGAATCTCGTGCAGGATTTCGACGAATGCGCATTACGTATTGTCATTAGCAACATAAAAAAATGTAGTCAATGTGAAAAATGATCTCATGAAAATCGCTCAATTCATTTCATTTTCGTTTCTACCGGAGCCAATCTCTCCAAAAATAACTCCACATAAATGACAATAAGTAAAGTGCGTTTTTTTCTCGTACATATGTCCATTGTTATCGCATCAAATTGAATCGACGTATGCATCTCTATCCATAATAAACATGTTATGTTTGTTTCGACTTCGACGTGTGTTTTGGGTTTCGATGACGAATTTATGTTTATGAATGTGAAACAGGTGTCGTGGGCCCTTTGTTATGTGAACACAACGCTCCAACTCATTCACGGGTAAATATAATTAGTTCGTACGAAAAAAAAAACAGATATAGCCGTAAACAATGCGTACTGAACATAATCAACGTGACAATAACAGTCATGTGCGGATTGATAAAAAAAAGCAAACAAACAAAACAGAGACGTGTGGTAGACGTGGTGTGTGGACAGTGGGCGAAAACCAATCTAATTATTATGAATGGAATTTTTGCAACGGGTCAAATTATACTGACGTGTATTGAAGCACCACATCTAATTGATTTAAATCTCGACGCGAAATTGTTCGACACTCTGATTCAATGCTAAATGGTAGAAACTGGACGGAAGATCATTTCCGTTTTTATGCACGATGTTTTGTTTTTCGCTTCGTTCTCTCGCTCCCTTTGCGATTGAAATGATCAATCAGTTGACTCATGCATAAATCAATTCCGAACAAGATCGATTACAAAATAAAGAACTAGCAGCAAAAACAAGGTATGCATAAATTTTAGCATCGAAGCATACAAGCTCATCGTATTCTTCTTAAACACCGATTTATTACGGTGGTGATTCAGCATAAAAATGGTCTTATTTATTTCTGACTGTATCACCGAAAAATGGCCGTAGGCATAATGATCTTCGTTTTCTTCTATTGAATGCGTAATTCGATCGGGCAACAGCAGTATTAGTAGTCGTAATTTTTTTTCAGCTGATTCTCGATTCCATGCAATAAATAAACGCTGGAAAATGGTAAAGTAAACGAAACCTAATTACATGGTGCAGTGGAAGGAGATTTGCAACCGTTCGTTTCTCTCTCTCTCCACTTTATCTAAAATAAACACCATCAATCATTGGCAAATCAAGTGAAAAACATCATTCTTATGCAAATTTCTAACGATCTTCTTGTCGTTAATGCGCATGGAATGCATACACGTGATCATTATCAGCAGATCGTTCATTTAGTCATTTGGTTTTTTTTAAATTCTTCTACTACCGCTATGGGTGAAGATCACCTGACACTATTCAAACGGTCGTTTACACAATGGAATGTGCTTCAACCGAACACAGCAATTAATGATGAATTGAACGAATCACCGCAGTTCAACGACGGTACATATCGTTTATTTTAATTAGAGTAACCAAATGGAAAATATTTAAACTTTCAAGGGCAGATGCAAACCGCTGTACCACAGATTGATATTATTTAAGAAAAGACGAAAGAAAAAAATAAGACACAATCTAAACATTTGTAACCTTTAAGCTAAACACCACTCGTTTCATTTGTGTTCTTTGAATTTCGGTATCCGAAATGTGTCTATTATTCCATACACGACACATATATATATTGAATTGTTCAAGGATTTTCATTTCTCATAATCAACCATGAACAACCGTGCCCGTGTGTAAATGATCTGATTGCGTTGAATGAAACCAAATGCCGATCACAAGAACAAGATGACAAGACGGTTATTCGTTCGGCTTTTCGATGCTATCAATGAGGAAATGAGTCACGTTCGCGTGTCAGTTCTATTAAACTGGCGTGTGTGTGTGTGTGTGTGTGTGCGCGTTTGTATATTGCTACAGGTAAATTTGATTAATCTTATTCATTGAGTTCGCTTGACTGCAGCATACACAAAAAATCAATTCAACATAATGTCAAATTAGCGTCACCATTTTCAGCTCAATCGAGTCGCCGTACATTACGATTACTCACAATTACTTGGGCGCGAACAAAAAGCGATTAAGGTCAGATATGAATGAACAGGAAATATTTCATTTACCATCGGAACTAACGAGTTATGTAATTGGATCAATATCCGCTTTTTGGTCGCCCGAATCAACGGGAATTGTTTTTCATTTGTTTCACAGGTTTCAATCGCGTTTTTAGATTAAAAACATGCATGTTTGCATGTCAACTAATTTCTTCTTGCATTGCATATTGAAAAAAGATCGCGATGAAAATGTCAAGTAGAACGAGATTGAAATCACATCCTTTCTGATTGAACAGTGCAGATAAGTAATCATTCCATTTAGATTGGTACTGATTGAATATCAAGAAAGGAACTTTCAATTTTATTCGCTTAATCAATGAACAAATACTGTATGAATGTCAAATTCAAAAACAAATTGAATATCTCACAAAACCGACAATGAATTTTTCCACCTAATTAATTATTATTATTTTTTACATTTTTTCAAAAAAACAAACCTCTTCTAAGAATATCCGTTTGAATCCTTCGAGTGTGTGTTTTTCTTCACCCAGTCGAGCACTGCACTCAGATATTAGAAGCCAACGCATTTTTTCGCGTCTCACTTCAAGTTCCATAACACTACATTCACCGTTGTCGATGTAGAAGCCCTCCTTTAAGGCTTTAAACACTTCGTTTGCTTTATTTCTGTCGGCTGCATGGGAAGAAAAGAAGAGACAATCGAGTATTTGAAATGAATTAAAATCGAAATCCCACCCGTTCAGGTCGATTAGGCGATTGAATAAATTAATTACTTTTTATGCTGCTGGTGGACATTTTGCGTTCATTTTCCAGGAATGTATCCATTGGTGTGGACTCGATTTCACTTTCCGTTGTGATTTGAGTGGTGGCCGATTCGGTGCCGGGTTTTAATTTCAATTCGCCGACACTCATGTCAAACTCGCGCTCCGAGTGCAGTGACACTTTTCGGCTGTTTGGAAACATGTCGGCTTTCGTCAATTCGTTGAGTGTTTGCGTGGAAATCGATGATGATGGCGATGACATTTGATCGGTATCATCGTCTTTGTCGGTGTCATCGTTATCCTCTTTTTCCGTATCTTCCTCATCGCTATCGCTGTGCTCGATGCTATCAAGCGATTTACCATCCATGATTGCATTCAATTTTGTGTGTAAATATTCATTGGTTTTACTGTCCATATCCATTTGGAGTGCAGCAATTTGCATGGCAGCCAGTGGCAGTTCATCGGAAAACGAAACTTTTTTCGGTGTCCGAATTGAGGCAGTGTCGGATGTGGTGCTAAATTTACGATTAGCTGAACATTGGCTTAGCTTACGCGACGGTTTGATCGGTGATGTGTCGAGAGTTTCGCTAGATTTTCGTGACGATGGAACCGAGTCCAACGATATTTCGCTATATTTTCGCGGTGGACGCAATGGTTGCGTCGAATCGGAGCATTCATTCGATTTTGGATCACATTTTATCGCATAATGATCAACAATATCAACGGCTCCACCTTGCACTTTATACTCACTGTCAATGGTTTTTTTGGCAACTATTTCATCGCTAGGCGTTGTTTGTGTTGCATTTGTCACTTGAACATTTTCCATATTGAATATAAAACAACAAATCGAAAATCACACACAAAATTCGAACAAATGAATCGAAGTGAATAGGGTTCATTCAATCGTTCTTTTGTCGTCGATCAAAAACTTAATTAAGAATAAACAAACTTGCCTCGACACACCCTCAAAAACACTTAAACGCACAAAATTAAGAATATTTTTCTTAGCTTTTTATCGCAGAACACAGATAAACAAACAAGATCCGCCAATTTATTATTACTTCCTCGTTCATTCACAATATGTGTCTATTTTTCTATGAACACATAATTCTATTCTAGTTTGATGGAACGCGGAATCGATGTGATTTATCACAACACCAATTTTTTTTATGCGATCAAAACATAATTTCTTTTAATCAATTCGATTTAGGATGTTTTGATCGGCAATAATAACAACAACATTAGAATATAACAAAGTTATGAGTGTGTGTTGGTTGGTTCAGTTCGGATAATTTGTAGCAGCGCGAAAACGATTTTACGTTAGTTTCGTCGCTGCTGCTATTCTGATAACCGTTCGCACAACGAATTTCGAAAAAAAAAAATGGAAAGTTACACGACCGAACACTAAAGTAAACTGATGTGGTTGGCCACATTCGATGTTGGCTTCAGGCATGGAGACTGACTTACGTACGCGCCCTGCTGCCGACGCATTGATCTATGGCTATGCTGCTCGCTTTTTTTCGTTGTTGTTGCTGCTGCCGTTGCTGTTGCCGTTGTCTGCTCTCTGATCGAACGCAAACGAGAGACGACGGATTTTTTTTTCTGTTGCTTTTCTTTGACGTTGTTTTTTTTTCTCTCTCACTGTATTATGCTCGGCTGTGTTGTTTCACGTGTGTATGTTTTGTTCGCTGCTCGATTTTTTTTCTCTCTTCTCTTACTCTCCCGCTCGTGCTGTTTATGTATTTGTTGCTGTCGATCTTATTTCTGCCGTTCAGCATCGCACATTAACATAAGATCATTCTCGTTGAAATAAGTCATTCGTATGTTGTTAACCTTTTGCAATTATTGGCCCGAACCAAAAATTCTGATTATCTGAGAAATTCCTCTTCGGTTCGTATCGCTCGTGTTTGAAAGTGAACAGAGATAACAGCATTAGTTTGATATTTGTGTGGAGAAAATTGTAAAAGAAACGATCAAGAATCAAGAGTTCCGTTTACGTTGATCCTTTGGAATTTATATGCGATCGAAATGATAAAAGCTGCAAGACGACTCGTTTATTTATCTCCCTTCTGCAAAGTGTTGTTTATCAGTTCTCTTTCTATTGGTGTTTGATTGTGTGGAGATTGCATGACATATGAATGTCAATGGCTGGCAGGATATTCGCTGCTGAATTACTTTTAAAGTCCAACAATAACAAAGAAACTACCGATTTATATGGGATTTACAAATTGAATGTCACACACAGCTATACCATCGAATACATTAAATACCTTTTTCACTCTCATGCGTTCGCCCAATACCCGGCCTAACCATGGGTCAATCGTTTGTTTTTTTTTCGTTCTCATCTGTGGCATGTATTTGATTCGGAAATTGAATTGCATTTGAAATATTGATTAGTCAATTGATCAATTCATTAGATTGAGGTGTATGTTCACCTTGCCGTTCGTGATGATTTCATTGAATTGACGCTATTCGCTCGCATGTCGAATCCAATATGCCAGCAATACAAAATATGACACTTGAAGCCGATCAATCATAACTTCGATTGAAAATTGTATGCTATTAAACAAACTAATTTCCAGTGTTATTTGATCAGTCAATTCTTAGTCAGCAGGAGAGCAGTATGTGTGTGTATGCTGACTGAACACATTCAATTGGTTGTTTTGTTTACCATTGCATACGATACGGAGAACGATTAGGGTACAAACAATGAAACAGGAATGCAATGGTTTAAATATACCTGTGTGCTTGCGTACGGCTCGTGTCTTATGTCAAATCGATTGTAGGTGCTCCATTGTTTTATGCAAAGCGATTGCTATTAGCAATCATTATTCGCCTAAGATCCGTTTTGCATTTTAATTTTGTATTCCATTGAACTTGAATGTGTGTGTGCGCCGGTGCGATGCTAATCAATTTGGGTACATTTAGTGCTATAGAAATTCGTGCAATTAATTTAATGACATCGATGGTAATCAATTTCACAGGCCGCCTTTTTTTTCTCTCGAAAGAGAGAGAGACTGACGTCAGTTCGATGTATTGGAATCTACACATTTATCGGTATGCTGATTTCGCTTAATTGATTTTCGGTACATATGTTTAACAATCGCTTGCTTTACCTTGATATCAGTACGTTCATTTTCTTTGTACCATATTTATGACTCATTTTGCCGCTCTACAGCATTGTTCTCAAGCTTATTTTGGACCTAAGTGATACGATTTTGATGTAGATGATAGCATCAGATATCACATTACAACACACCAAACCAAATCGTATAATTTGCATTGGTCGCTCATCGGATGTTAGATATTTGAATTTGGGCGTAACATGATTGTGTGCCGTAAGCACAGCACTCACAAAAAGTCGAGAAGAAAGAGAAAAAAAAAACCTAAAACCAATCGAAAACCTTACGAAATACTTTGCATTTTTTGTTTATACGGGTTTTTCTCTCTCTATTTGCTTTTTTCAACATTGTTTGAAATAATTTTTCGATTTAGCATTTTATTATAACATTAAACCTATAATATTAATGGCTTAGTTTCGGACGAATGGCTGAAGTAAGTCGATAATAGTTCGTTCAAACTGGTTGTCGCAAACGAATGACATCCGATTTTATTCGAAATTTCAAGTTTTTGGTGATTGGTATATGTGCGCGCGCGAGCGCTAACCATGCGGTACTGAAACTTGAAGAGAGAGAGAGAGAGAGAGAGAGAGAGAGAGAGAGAGAGAGAGAGA